GTAGCTCATTAAGTTGTTCTGCTGAAAAAACTCAGGTAGAATTCCTAGTGTACTAGCAGAAAGAGAGAAAAAGTATAATAAGTAAATGGAGATCTTTCAGTGGTCAAAAGCCAGTTTCCACCCAGGAACATTTTAATGTGGCCTTAACCCCTCAAGTGTTCTCAGTTTCTTTCTTTCTTTCTTTCTTTCTTTCTTTCTTTCTTTCTTTCTTTCTTTCTTTCTTTCTTTCTTTCTTTTTTTTTTTTTTTCAGAACCGGAGTTTGAACTCAGGCCCTTGCACTTGCTAGGGAAGCACTTATTCCACTGAGCCATCTCCCCGGCCCTATTCTCAGGTTCTATTGGCCCACACACCCAGAGATGTCTCCAGAAAGGAATCCAATGGTTTCTCTGGTTGACATTCCATAAGCCATAGGCCTCAATGGGGATTCACCAAAGAATGTCTGGGGAAACCTGTCCTCTGCTTCAAAGAGTGGCAGCTGCTCTAGGAGCATTTACTAGCCGGCAGAGTCACCACTGTTTATCCAAGTTCTGTAAGGGATAGTTAAAATAATGAATATGATCACTTAGCATTCTACAGTAAAGGTTTGAAAGTCTACAACTTATCTCTTACACACCTCAATGATATCTAGACCTAGGAGAAAAGGTTGGAAATCCTCCCTCACACTAAATATGTTTTGGTCCCATAAGTATGCTGCATTTGGAGATAGCTCCTTCTGGTGTCACCCAGAAGACGGTCCTAGCCACTGTGGCTCACTTTAGCCTCCCAGAGGAGACCTGCCCAGAACTCTAAGCCAGGACATGGCTTTTATAAGTGTCTTCATGGATGGGCATAGCTCCTTTTTGTCTCATATGATCCAGAAATGGGGTGTGTGTCTTTTTGAAATGACTTCTCTGTCTTTGTTGTTAACACATGCTCATTTTCTAAGGGCTTCACTTAGTTGAAACTGTCTATACAGTTTTCCTAATTTCACATGCCTCGAAAAAGGAAAGTATAGAGAGGTGGGAAAATTAATAATAAGGTCAAAGAAATGAAACTGAAACAGAGCAGGCCTGACATTTGCTCTACCACGTAGAGGGGGGTCAAGACAGTCCATCCCAGTGAAACCTGGCCTCGAAGTCTTTAAGAAAGGTTGCCGACCATATGTCATGTATTTGGCAAAAGGAGTCCTGTGTTTCATATACAGGCATGTATATTTTCTATGTCCAAGCTAGATTTAAAAGTCCCACTTTGCATAAGTTTACATGGAGTTCACTAGGAGGCTTTATAGCTTTACTTTCTCCAGTGATATTGTCCAAAGTCAAGCAAAGAATATCAGTACTTTTAGTAACTCATTCAAATGCAACATATACAAGTACAAAACAGTCATAAAATGTCCCATTAGGGAAATACCATAACCTTATAGCATTTCCATGTTTTAACTTAGATTTACCAACAACATTTTGAACAGCATTTTAACAAAACCATGTAAGAGACAAAGCATAAGAAATTGTGATCAATTTTAACAGAACTATATGACATAAAATTGTATGAGACAAAGCATGAATGATTATGAGCAATGAGCAAGTACATATCAACATTTGAAGAATAAAAATTAGTTACCTAAGCAAGTCCCAATCCAGAATCCATGAAAGAAAAACAAACTCATACCTCCATCCAGTGATCTCGGTGGAACCTCCAAAATGATACAGAGAAACTCCCACTGACACAGGGAGAAAAACTGATCTCCCAAATAAAAGGTACCTGGGACAAGTTCATGTCCTCTAAAACCGAAGACTGTATTTTAGGAACAAATGGAGGTCATGAGCAGAGTATATTTATTGAGGGAAAGAAAGCTTCTGTGTGACAGAAAGACAGGAGGGGGGCCTGAGCGGATTGTCTCCAGGAAGCTGTTTCTTCCAGAACTTTTATAGAGGAAAACCATGTGGTGAGGCTGGTCTAAAGTGGTGGAGAAGATATGAGAACTCACTTACGTGGGCATGAGGTGGAACAAAACTATGGTCAGCCAATGAAATAACAGGCAGCATTGCTCAGGTAAAATTGATTAAATCCACTATCAAATAGGGAAATGAGTTATGTAGCAAGCAGGCATGAGTATGGTACAAGGTCTCTTCCTGTTGGGAGTTGGGATACTGTCTCATTTGGGCTCTTTCAAGGTGATTGATACCTATTTAGAATATTAATCCCTGATGCCCATCTCTAGGGAAGTATGTACCTGTGTTTCCTCTTTTCGCTTGAGGTCTGGCCCATGTGGGAGTGTCTGCCTCTTCTAAGTTGTAAAGTCACCTTGTCTTCCATCTTGTCTCCTTGAAGGCCTGTCCCTGTCTGACTGCCTATAATATTTCTATCTAATTCAGCTGCCTATAGCAGTACATCTGCATAATGCACTTTAATTATTTCTTTTATTCTTTTCTCTCACACAAGTTAGAGTTGCCTGGAACATTTCCATAAATACCTTAATCTTGCTAGGTATCCCAGTTCCCTCAATCTCTATCCTCTTCCTCTCATTGATCTCCTTCATCTTCATTTCTTTTTTGCGAAGGTTCTCAAACTTTTCATTTTACTTTTTCTATGGTGTTTCATATTCACCCCACGAAGTATTGAAGGTTAGCAGAGGAGCCCCTTAAGGAAATTCCTTCCACAGACTGCTCTTGGTTTTTTTTTCTCCATTATTTTATTATTTTTTATTAATTTTATTGAGAAAAAATAGCAGTAAGAAAGTTTTAAAACCAAGTAGTAGGACAGTTTCAATAATTAATAACATTGTAATGCTCTTGCTTTTAATCTGTCAGTTGCATTTTGTTCTCCAGGTGACAGATACAATTGTACCTACCTTGGTGATTTAGAATTATTGTAAGCAGTTAGACAGAGGTGGGCCCTTGACTGCTTGATTAAGAAGACACCTGTGGCTAGAGACACATTCTCTGATGGTCAGACTGGAAGACAAAGTGGGAGGGCTACACCTACCTATTCCCCTAGGGATGAATAGCAGGGACTGATATTCTAATTCACCTTAGGTGGAGAACCAAAACCTTCTTACCCTAGCCCTTCTAGGAATTTTCTTTTCTTTTTTTTTTTTTTAATTTTAGTACAGGGTCTACAGTGTCTCACTACACAGACCAGCCTCACTACCACTGGGATTACAGGCACATGCCACCACGCCCGGTCTCAGTCTTATCTCTGGAGGCCATGGGTCAGGGCTCGCAAGTCACATCTGGGATCCAACACATTCCTGGGCCTAAGTAGGCAATTTAATCCCTTGAGCTATCTGGCCTCCCTTAGAACATTCTTGTTCTTCCAATGTATACTTGCTATATGGCTTGCTGTCCCATTTGACGCCCACCCCCCATTTACTCAGCCTTACCTAAGCAACCAGTAATCATTTTTTTAATCAGAGAAAAAAAACAAATGCAATGATACAGAATTCCAAAGCAAGATAGTTGGAAATTAACAATGAATAATATATTGCATGTTGTAATCTTCAAAGTAGTTGCTCAAATCCCAAGATATACATATACAAAATTAATCAAAGATTGTAAGAATAAACTGTTCTTTCCTATGAATTAATAGAAATTAGTACTGTAATTATGTTACCTGTGCTGTACTTTTGCTTTTGATACTGGGAATTGAACTCACAAATTTGCACTTCCAGACAGGCACTGTGCTGCTGAGCTATATCCCTGAGCCTTACCTATCCTCCGTGTGTGTGTGTCTGTGTGTCTGTGTGTCTGTGTGTGTATTTTTTTTCCTTCCCTTTCTCTTTTTGTGATTCCAGATATTCTGTGGATTGAACTCAGACCCATGTGCTTGCCAAAGAAGTGCTTATTCTACTGATCCATCTCCTCCCCCTGCCCCCAGATATTCTTTCCTTTAGAGCACTTTCTTTTCCTTTCACATTATCTATTATACATTTGGAACCTGGGTACATAATCAGTTTCTTCCATAAGGGAGACAATATGATCCTTACACAAGCAACTCTAATTTATTTCACTTCTAAGTATGGTGTCTAGAGCCACAGTCTGCCTGGCAATCTCAAGGTCCTGCGTTTGATACCCAGTACCACGAAAAAAAAGTATGGTGTCTTGTTATACCACTTACCTATGCAAACCTAGAGATTGTGCTTCTTTGTACATGAGTAGTACTTCATTGCATACCTTTTATTTTTTATTTTTTTTTTTCAGAACTGGGAATTGAATGCAGGCCCTTGCACTTGCCAGGGAAGCACTTATTCCACTGAGCCATCTCCCCGACCCCTATACTTCTAGATAGAAGTCACTTGTCTGAAAGATTATTGACTAAGAATTATCCCCAATTTCTGGGGATTTTGTTTACTCTTTTGGTAATCTGTTTTGATGCACAAAATGTTTTCAATCACAAGAGAGTCCAATAGTTGATTCTTTGAACTATTTCCTCTGCAGTTTGGTTTTTGTTTATGAATTCTCGGACCTATCCAAGTCTTCAAGAAATCTTCC